TGACTAGTCATGATCTCATCATTGTTACCGAAGCACACCTAACGGATGCAGTGCCAGAGAGTGACGTGTCCCTTGAAGGTTTCCGCCTGATGCGGGTGCAGAGGTCAGGAGATGCCATACGCGCTGACTATGGCGGGGTTGCTCTCTACGTGCGTGATACCGTCTCCCATGGGGTTACCATTGTCCGGAAAAACAACAGTCTTGCAGGCTGTGAGGTCCTGTGGATACGTGTCAACCTTCTGTCAGGAAACAGCCTCCTGGTGGGGGCCTGTTACCTTGCACCTGAAACTTCCAGAGTGTACCCAGCCGGAGGTGCAACTAATGCACAGCGAGCAGCAGCAGCAGAAGCTGCTTTCGTGAGAGTCCAACAAGATATTTCTGAGCTCCGGCAGCCGGGGGAGGATGTGATGCTTGCCGGTGATCTAAATGCCCGTCTATCTAGTGCACAGCATACAAAGCACCGGTCCTCGCCTGCTGACCTGCCCGGGTACGTTAGTGATGTTCCAGATTTAGACCAACTGACGGCACTGCAGGAGTTCATGGGCTTGCCGGGGGACGCGGGCCCTCAGGGCTACGTAGACGTGCCCGGACGTAGGAGTGAAGACCTCGTCTGCAATTTCGCTGGGCACCAGTTGGGCGCCCTGTGCCGATCACAAGGGCTGCTGGTATTAAATGGCCGTATTTCCGGGGATTTAGAGGGTCGTCTGACCTTCCCCAAGGGTGAAGCAGGTGGGAGCATGATCGATCTTTTTGTAGGTTCGGCCGGTGTTCTCCGTCATGCCTATTGGATGCGAGTGGGCAAGCTGCTCGCGCCAGATGGTTGGTTCCCGACTGACCACCGTCCAATGACGCTAGTGCTTGGTCTAGCTGTAGGAGGAACTAGGACGAGTGCCAAAGGGTGCTGCCAAAAGAAGCGAGCAGTGTTTGAGATTTCCTGTTACCGTGACTATGCTGCTCTGTTCACTGATGGATCCCAGGTCATGCATGCACTAAATGGGGTGATCACGGACCTATCGAATGGGGCCTGCAACAGCACGGAGTCGGTGGAGCGCATTAGTACCCTCCTGCGGAAGGTGCTGATTCGAGTATTTGCGGGTCGCAGGCCTGAGGGTATGCAAGCGGGGGGTGGTGCATTATGGTGGAATGAGGAATGCCAAAGCGCCCGGCAACACATGCTTGCTTGCAGGGTGCGTCTTGGCCCTGGCAGGGTCGAGAATAAAACAGGCCCCTTGTGGGAAGCGTTCTGCAAGGCACGTAACGCAATGAACCGTGCCAAACGTCATGCCCGAGCAGCATATGATACAGAGAGAATGCGTGAGTTCGTGGTTAGGTGCAGGCACAATCAGCGCGCACTATGGCGGGCCTTGGGAGGGCAACTCAAGGAGCGTTGCGCAATTGACGACTTGCATGTATTTCGGGATCATTTTGCCACCTTGTTAAACGCAGGAGTTGGGGAGACGGGTGTTGAAGGTGCGCACCGACTCCTTAACTATATCTCCTTTTTTGGGGCCCCTTTGGGAGAGGGTGCTTGCCAAGCATGTCGGACTGTCATGGACAGGAGAGCACGGGCAGCTAGCATCCTGGATGAGCCTTTCACCTTGGAGGAGGTAGCGCGTGCTGTCGGTAGGTTACCAAACGGAAAGGCTCATGGGCTCGAGGCCGTACCATCGGAATGTTACCGTTATGCACGCCTCCCACGGGTGGATGAGCAGGGCAGGCAGGGAACGGAGGTGAACTGTATCGTCCCAGTGCTGCACGTTTTGTTAGAGCACATCAGGGCAACTGGTGATTTTCCACAGCAGTTTACCAAAACGGTGGTATCCCCAATTTTGAAGAAGGGTGACCCGTTGGTGGCAGGAAATTATCGGGGCATTGCAGTTGGAGGAGCACTTGCGAAATGCTATGCGTCAGTGATCCTTAACCGCCTGGTACGTGCTGGGGAAATACTGGACCTGCGGCACCCATGCCAAGCGGGTTTCAGGCGGGGTTTTGGCACTGCTCACCACCTCTTTGTCAAGCAACACCTGGTCAGGCGGCATCGGATCGCGGGACAACCGCCGTTGATAACAGTGCAGATTGACTTTGAGAAGGCCTTTGATAGGGTGCCTCGCGAACACATGTGGCTTCGGTTGCAGGAGAGGGGGATTAGCGGCCCCATGCTAGGTGCTCTGAGAAAAGCGTACGAGAAGGTGTCCATGGTGATGAAGGTAAATGAGAAAGTGGGGGGAGAGTTTGAGTCTAAGCAAGGAGTGAAGCAAGTAGGGATGCGAATTTACGTTTTACGTTTTTACGTTTTAAGGAATTAAGGTTACGTAATTACGTAATTAAGATTGGACCTGGCCGTAATAAGGTCCCTCAGGAGGGGTAGAAACCTTAAAAGCTTAACAGACCCATGGGTCTTACAGGTTCCGCCGGTCTGCAAACCAGGGTGCCGCTGACCCGTCCACTCCTCCGAACACACCACAAACCCAGCCATGGGGGAAGCGTGAAAGAGTCCAACAATGCAGGTTGAAAACCGCGATTCCCTCCGCCCAACCAAGCAAAAGAGCAAGTCAAGTAGTCAACACGACAAGTAGTCCTGGTTGCAAACCAGGACTATGGTTGCAAACCAGGACTATGGTTGCAAACCAGGACTATGGTTGCAAACCAGGACTATGGTTTGCAACGGTATTAGGTGTCGTGGTCGAGTATGTATGCACGGCTTTCAATGCTTAACAGTGCAGGCAACTTCCTTTCTGCTTATCGAACTGGTCCCGCACCCAGTCGGAGGGCTTGGCCTTGTCGCACGACGTGCGGGGCGGCAGGACCGGCAAGCCCGCAGCATTGCGAGGGGGCAAAGCGTACGCGAGCAGCGTGGTGCCCTTTTTCATATGCTGCTGCTGGTCCTTAAGAGCAGGTGGTGTTGCAGTATCAACGCCGCCATACGCGCCGGTGCCGGGGGTCGTGCCCGCGTCAGCCATGGTTCAAATTGGAAAGGCGATAGTCGCCAAGTCGGCTGTACAAGCGCCAAACTGATGTCAAAAATATGTAAATAAGTAAAGAATGGTGTTGCGAATGTGAAAACGCTGAAATTGTGCTGAAAATCCAAAATCGTACACTAGTACGGCAACCTTAAATTAAGGGTCCAGGGTCCAGGCCGTGGAAACCGTAAATTACAGTAATTTACTATATTACGCTTTTAAGCTTACGTAATTAAGGTTGCCAAATCCCAATTCAGCTGAAATTCACATCCCTAGAAGCAAGGGTGTCCTTTATCTACGGAGTTGTTTGGACTCTTCATCGAGACACTAGCTGATCTGGTTGATACTCATGACCTTGTAGAAGCTGGATTATGTCCTATAGCCTTCATGGCTTGCTGTACGATTTCGTTCGGGGTGCCGGATAGGACAGGACGAGGCGAAACCGGGGCTGCCAAGGGCCTTACACTACTGCAGTACTAATTGCTGCTCTCGGGCTTGTGTCGCA